TTATGCCTCTGAGCTATCTCTCCGACCCTTCTCCTTGATTTTTGAAGTGGATTGATATTCATAGAAAATGTACATCTGTCATCCTGTGTCTTTTTGAATCCTTCAACAACTTTTACTATTTCCTTTTTACTCTCTCTGTTAACTATTTCTTTATTCCACCTTGCTGTCCAGTAGATTCCATATATGTATAAAGCTTTTCTCAGTGAGAAATTCTGTTTCACTGGTGATAACAAGTACAACATTTATTGCAAACTTAACACCACATGTCTTGCTTTTCCTAGAAAACTGATTTCTCAAATGGTCAATGAGACAGACACTTCAATTCTGACTGGCACTGCTATCCAATATTATTTCTACTCTTAAATATCTACCCAATACTTGATTGTTCTCAGAGTGTTCCCTGACAAGCTTGTATACACAAGGAAAATGTGTTCCTTCAGCAGACTAGTGACCATATTGCATCTAGCACCAGCCTAGGCACTAGGAAGGATTTTAGGACATGGCCTAGTATATGATTAACAGGGTAGATTCTAAATTTAAACAGATCTGGGTTCAAACCTCAATTCTTTAGCTTGCTTGCTAGATAAACTTGAACAAGTTTGTTGCTTGCTTGTTTGCTTGCTTGTTTTGATAAAGGATCTTGCTATTCAGTTTGGACTCATAGTGATCTTCCTGTCGCAGCCTCCTTTTATTTCAGGGATTACAGGCATGCACCATCACTCTGGGTTTCGGGGTGGTACAGTGCGCTCATGGCCCCAGGGCCTGCACAGTATGCAGTAACAGGGACTATACTCGAGTCCGTTCACTTGCCAGGAAGGCACTTAGACCGCCAAGCTATCTCCCCATCTCTGAACAAGTTGCTTACTTTTGTTTCCAGGTCCTCACTTATGAGATGCAGGGGGGTAAATAACAGGATTTCTGTGTAGATTGAATGAAACAAGCTGAGTAAAGTATTGGCACAGTACTTGGCATGCAATAAATGTTCAGTAAATGTTACATGTTACCAGCAGCTGTTTTATTATAACAGAATGGGGGCCTTTATTCTAACAAGCTTGAATTTTAACTGTCACATGAGAGCAGAAGAGGGATTTTTTTTTGTCAAATCATCTCTTTATTGACATATTTTCTTATGCTCCTTAGCTAGCTGGGCACTCAACAACGCAGTTGTTGATGTCATCTATGATGTCATGACGGTACCGGCTGTCCATGTTGCAGCCCACAGACTGGGAGATCCCCAGGATCTCCTTAATGGTTCTGGAAAGTTCTCTGGCTAAAGACTGGTGCTGCATCTGTTAGGCAGTGTTGACAATCTCATCAAAATGATATTTCCACTATGTTTAATGTTGTTCTGCTTCTTTCTGTCTCTTGGTGGCTCCTTGAGGGCTTTGATGATCAGGGCAGAGGCAAAAGGCACCACCTCAGTCTGAGCTTGTCTGTTTTGAATGGTCACTTTCACTGTAATCCACAGACCCTTCCAGTCACCAGTTGCCTTGGCAATGTCATCTACCACTTTTTTTGGAGACAGATCCAATCTTGGGGGCCAGGGCAGACATGGCGCCAACTGCACCACCAGTGCAGCTCAGGCATATGACTTTGATCTTGTTGGGATCGAACTTGGGTGACATGCTGGAAGTGGCTAGTGTTGGATGAACCCAGATTCGGGATGACCGAAGAAAGTTGCACCTTAGCATCCTCCTAGCCGAAAGCCGAAAGAGAAGAGGCCTTATACCTCAGCCAAAGAACCTGAGTAGAGCATTACAACTAAAAATGCCACTAAATGTAGGGCTCTTAAAGACCTCTGTTCTCAAAATTGATTGAGTGAGGATGTGGTGAGGTGGTGGAATATATGCAGTAGAACGGAGATGTTTTGCTATCTCATCCTGAGCTGACTTTCTGCTCCTTCCTTCTTTCCTTCCCTCCTGATTTTGAGAGAGGGTCTCACAATATACATATTATGGCCATGAATTTATTGTATAGTCCATGCTGGCCTTAAATGCTCGACAGTCATCTTGCTTCAGCTTCCTGAGGACTGAGATTACGAGCATGTGCTATTATGCCGCCTGGATATTCTTTTAAAGAGAGTTTACCTGAGATTTGTAACCATGGTTTCATTAACCTAGAGGTTTGAAATTTATGTTAATGCTTTTCTTTACCTGAGAATAGTACAAAAAGTAGCCAAAAAGCACTTGTGAAGGAGTGATCCTTAGGTAAGCCTATAGGAGATTCCCACAGATAAAAACTGGACTCACGGGTTCATAATCCAAATACACAGAATAATCACTGTTTCACTAGGCATGGCAGTGCATGCCTATGGTTCCAGTTGGAGTGTGTGTGTGTGTGTGCATATTATTTATTTATTTTGTGGTGCAGGGTATTGAACTCAGGACCTTATGCTTATCAGGCAGGAGCTTATACCCCTGAGCTATCTCCCCAGCCTCCATTTGTAGCAGGAGTAGGAGAATCACTGAGTTTGATGCCAATATGGGCTACATAGTGAGACCTTGTCTCAAAATCAGTCAATTAATCAGTCAATCCACTATCAACAAGAATTGACAGGAACAACAAACAACAGACTTAGATTTCCACTAACTTGGAAAAGTGAGTACTCTAAGAAATTAAAAGTTTGGAATGGAAAGGTATATTTTGTATTAAAAAATTAGAGACATTTCAAATAGCACTGTAGGGTCTGGGGTTATAACATAGTGATAGAGTATGTGCTCAGCATGCATAATGCCCTAGGTTCAATTGTTAGCACAAACAAAAAAATTTTTTTAAAGAAGTACTGTGTATGACTTGTATAAATCAAGATACAGAATTAAACTGAGTGGACAAGTAAGTAGCAAATTATGTGCACAGCTGGAAAAAAAAACCAGTTAACTGGGAAATACTGTACTCCTGAATTTGGATTTTGAATTCAAGTCCCAGACTTCAGAACAAAATACAAAGAAAATTTTTTAAAAATGTTAAGTATAATGTATATCAAGTAAGAAAATCCAGTGTACATCTAACCAGAGTTGCAGATGGAGTACACAGATGTTATTTAAGGAGATAGTTGCTGATCATTTTTCAGAACTAAGGAAACATAAATACTCAGACCAGGAAATTACATAAAATCCTAAACAGAGTAATACAACTAAATTTTTGCTTAGAATATGTGCCAAGAAATATCTGTGATGACGTTTAGGTTGAAGCATAGGATTTTATGAGTTTATTCAAGGCCAGAGACTATTGTACAAGGGTGTTCCAAATGTATCTGTTCCTCCTCTATCTTGTTTTATCTTTCAACAAAGAAACTGAAGATGGGGTATGGTGGCAGATGCCTGTAATACAACACTTGAGAGGCTGAGGCAAGAGGGTCACAGAGAATACAAGGACAGCCTGGGCTACAAAGTGAATTCAAGGCCAGCCTGAACTGTAGAGTGAGACCCTGCCTCAAAAAGACCAAAAAAACCCAACAACCAGAAAATGTAATTTTGACCTAATTGTCACAGATTTCACAGCTGGCCAGCCAAGCTAGCTGCATTTGAACTGAGGAGGGAATTTCTCAGAAGTTAATTCTCTTCGTTAATATGCATTCTTGTCCTTTCTTTAGTCTTTGATTCTGAGTTCAGATTAGAATTTCTGGTACCTGTGAATAATGGAAACTTATATTCTTGAAAATGGCAGTAGAGTACTGAATTTCTAAATTTTTTAATTGCTTTGAGTTGTAACATTACCATTTGGTGGTTTTCTTAAGATTTCCTTAGTTTTTTAAAATATAGATTCTGTCATCTTCTTTAAGGTCTATATAAAGATTCCATTATTTTTTTTTCAAAAAGCATTATTTTGTTTTATTTCCTGGGATGAGGGAGGAGAGAATCTACAGGTTTGAATTTAGTTAAAAAAATCAAAAGAACTCCAGCTCTAGGAAATAGGCAGTTCGCATAGCTGGCCAGCATCTGAGGTATCATCAGTGTGAGACAAGGTCCCAATCCATTCCTGTGGGCCCGGGTGATGCTTACAAAAGGGGATCCTTTTGGCTCTGCACAGAAATTCCAGCAGAATAAGACGACTAAGCCTGTATTCAGAGCCTTAGAAAAAGTGCAGTATCAAGTGTGTAGTAGTTAAAGAGTGCAGAAACCCCTGATAGTGCCCCTCTGCATGCTCTGTCAATATACTCTAGTTATAACTGCCTTCCGAAAATAAGGAGCTAAACAGCTTCTAGATCAACACATTGAATCCAGCAGAGACTCTGGGACTACTACACCATTTTGTAAGCAACACAGTCCCTTTGCTACCCCTTGGGTTACTTGATGTCTCTCTTGTTCCCTATTACAGCCTGCGGACACCCCACTCACCAGGCATTGCTGGTTCTGAACCAGGGCTTTTTTGTTTTGTATCTCAAAAGGAACCTAGTAAGAAAATAAAAAAGCAATTGGTGGTTAAACTGAATGGTACATACAGGGAGAAGTCTGGGAAAATAACCACCACAGGCATGTTTCAAAAGCAAAATATGAATTTGCTGTTGCTCCTTTGACCACTTCTGAAAATTCAGAATACAAATAATTTCTAAAATAAAAATTTTAAGCTGCCAGAATTGTCTGACATCATAAGAAAAATCAGAGCAGTGCTATAGCCCACAGTTGGATAGTTTTGTAGAAAGTGTGCTAATTCTCTGCCTGTATTTATCTTTAGTGATGGCATAGAGTCATCCTCTTCAGAAAACAAGTTTCTGCAATACCCATTCTTAGCTTCATTCACTGGGAAAGAGAACTCTACTCTCAGCTAATAAGCTCTCTGAGAAGAAAGACTCGCAATCAAATACCATTTCCCCACTAATTTACCAAAATGAAAGGCATTAACTACTTTGCCTAATGTTAAATCAGGGCTTTGAGAAAAAGAGATTGACACGAACACCCCATCAATAAAGACTAAAAACCACCTGGATCATATCATATCATATCATATCATATCATATCATATATAATATATATGCCTTTTTGGTTTTTTTGGTGTTTTTGTTTTTTTCTAAAAGTGCCCAGGTGGGCTTAAGGCTGCCAGACTGCACGCAAATCTACAGCAACGACGACTTCTCCTATTCCATCTACAATGTGTATGGGGAAGGGAGAAGGGAAAAGACAGGAGAAAGGAGAAAAGAAGGGGAAAATACACCTTTCTTTCCCCTTAAATAAAATCCTACCACAGGGAGATCTATGTGCCAAGCACACTGGAAGAATGTGCTCCCCAAACAGATGGTTATGCACAGCCTAATATTTTGCTGGTTTTCTTTAGAGACCTATTTTGAAAAAGTTAAAAAAGATAAAGAGATTTTGAAATAATTCAATCCTGGCTGAAATTAAAACTCCAAAATTAGGAGCAAAATCATCCTTTGCTGAATTAATCCCTTTTCTCTTTCTCTTTTTTTTTTTTTCCTTAAACATTTATGTTATGAAGGGATTTCTTTTTTATTTGCTTTTTTCCGATCATTAGGAGAGTGGTTGAGGAGTACTGAATCCATCATCACTACTTCGATGACACAGGTAAGATTTCAGATTCACATTTCTAGGTAGCAAGAGTCCCCTCTAACGGCCACAATCAAGTAAGCCTTCGTCCATGCTTCCTCCTACTGCACACAGCAATGCCCATTGGTGTCTCTGAAACGTAATCGCATTTTAGGTCGGTATTTCTCCAAGTAAAGCAGCTGTTTGGAATTGAATGCTCCTCTTCTTTTTTGTCTTATAAACTGAACTGCATCTTCATACTTCATTCCACACTCAATCAAAGCAAGCGCAACCAGCACAGGTGCCCTTCCCAATCCTGCAACGCAATGCACTGCAACACAGCAACCGGGCTCTTCACGAAATTTGGTTTTTAACAGGTTTAGCCAATCTTCTACTATCTGATTAGGGGGTGGAGCTCCATCATCAAATGGCCAATCTAGAACGTGGATTCCTTCCTTTTCAACTGGAGCTTTATCATATGTAGCATCACAAACTCGAACCAAAGTTGTCACTCCATACTTCTTGAGTTCCTCTGTGAACTTGTTGAGAGTAGCATTGGTAGGGTTGTGAGTTATCAGTAAACGCATGTTCTCATAGGAGATCTCCACAGGGGCTGGACGGTTCATTATGGCAAATAAAAAGTGTGAGCGTGCGTGTGATGAGTGTAATGGGGAAAATGAAAAAAAAAAATCAACAAATCTTGAAATGTTTCACAGCAGAAAACATTAAAAAGACCACTAAAATGCCTAATATCAATCAGTATTTTATCTATTCAACTTTATTCTTTATGAGGCTTTTCTTCAAGATAAGCAGAAGTATTTAGAATCCACTTGAATCCAAATTCAAATTGGGCCTCAATGTCTGCAGATGAATACCTTCAGACTCCAAAAAACTCGAACTACATACAAAATGTAATCAGCCTTTACTACATTTAGGCACTAGTGACTGAGACAAGTTAAAAGTGTAGGTCGTTTTCCACTTTTGTGTACTTGATGCTTAAGTTTACTGGAGTCATTAAAAGAAAATACTTGCAATTAAAAAAAAAAGACAATATTTCTGAGGCCAGTCTCGGTGTCCAGAGGCTTCAAGGCAATGTTAATTGTGGCACATAGAACCCCAAGCTCACTTGTCAGCGAGAACGCTGTGCTGAGCCTGGCAGAAGTCTGCCCTCACACTCAGAATCGCCATAAATGTGCAACGGATATTCCAACGAAAAACCTGATTCTCCTGTCTCAGCCTCCTGAGTGCTGGGATTACATGCATGTGCCACCACACAGTTACTGGAGGCTTCAGTCCAAACGCAGCTGGGTCCAATGCAGAGCAGCACAGAGCAGAAGGCAACCTTTCATGGTGGTGGCAAAGAGCTAGAGCGCAAGGGAGGGCAAGATTCCATTATTCATACATGTTTTTGCATACTTTATAGTACTTTAATAACCAGAGAGAAAAGAACAGTCTCCTTAGGTTTCAGAAAGTAATTCAGCAGGACCTAAAGGTCTCTCCCTCTCTCACCTCCTTCTTCCTCTCTCCCTCCCTCTCTCCCCCCACCAGCAATCAAACTCAAGACCTTGTGGTTGCCACACAGGATTTTGAGACACTGAGCTATAGATAGATTCATAACATTCTATTAGCTCTTACACTTGGCATATACTAGGTTTTATCTTTTCTTTCTTTTTGAGACAGACTCTTACTATGTAATTCAGATTGGTCTTGAACTATGTAGCCCAAACTAGTCTTGAACTCATGGTATTTTTCCTGCCTCAGCCTCCCAAGTACTGAGATTACAGGTGTGTGCTACCACTCTTGGCTTTACTGTTTTATAAGTTTTCATAAAAAATAATATAAATATATAAACTATTCTTTATGACTTAGAGAAACTTACTTGCTACCTGATTCCCTTTAACAGAAGCCAACTAATATTTGGCTTATATTACTGTACTTTTATTCTTGTGTCTGAACTAGATTCTGTAAGAAATATTTTATAAATAAAATGAGAGGCTGGCCAGAGAAGCGCAGCAGACTAATGCGCCTGCTTAGGCAGAGCGCAGTGACTGGCATTCAATTCTGGGAGTGCCCGACCCCCCCCCCAGGAGCACTGAGCCAGTGAATGAGACGGAGCAGTGGTGCCTGCCTTTAATCCCAGCGCTTGGTAGGCTGAAAACAGGCGGATCAGTACTAGTCAGATCTATGTAGTGAAACCCTGTAGCCCCTGTAGTAAATCCAATAAATAAATACAAAATTGAGATATCTGCTAATGTATTCAAGTGTGGAATTGTTAATGTCTTATGAGTGCTTCTGATTTTTAGCAAGATGAAACTGTTAGGTGGTGTTATGGTTTCTATCTCGGTGATCCCCAAAGCCTCATACACTTACACGTGGGTCTTCCAGAAGGTGATTGGATGGGGGTGTGGCCCTTACCAGCTGATCAGCCCACTGATGGTTTAACTAAAAGTGGTGTTGGGAGGTGAAACTGGTTGGAGGAGGTGGATCGCTGAGGTCCTGGCCTGGAAGGGTCTGTCCCCTTCCTCCTCTTTTCTCTCTTCGTGCTTCCCAATGCCATGCCTTAAGCTCTTTCCCCTATTCCAAGTAGCTCTGCTCTGTGGCCCTGCCTTGGAGTTAGCCAATTATGGACTAAAACCTCTACTAACTGTGAGCCAAAACAAATCTTTAATTTCTGGGTGTCATGCAAGTACTAGCAACAAAGAACGTAGTAACTAAGACAAACACATCTGCTAAGAGTTATCAGATTTACTTACCCATAGCCCAAATAAAAAATGAAGCAAACTGTGTTTCCTTTACCTTTGTCTGTTGTGGCCTTGTCTGTCATCTCTGTTACTGGCAACCCACAGAGGAGCTATTATTTGGAGGTGCCAGGATGGATGATGGCAAAACTGTCATGTTTTAGCTCTGTACCATTTCATTATTATTTTCATCACTTACTGCTTCTCAGCATTCCTAATCTGAAGTCCAGATGTTCATGCTGTCCTCAAGGCATTTACTTCTTTTTATCCCCCTTGTGTTTTTTTTCTACTCTTGAAAATGTCACTTTGCACTTAAAGTATCACGTACATAGTGGGAAATAAATGAAACATCTCAGAGTGACACAGTATTCATATGTCCTGTCCTCTTTGCAGTATCAGTGTTCCCTGTTGATGATCTGGACCAAAATTGAGGGTGAACAAGGCAGCTAAACAGACTCTGTGCCTAGAGTTGACACTCGTGTCCTGCCGGAGAATGCAGAGACTGGCACCTGGCTGGTGCCTTTCTGTGCCATTTAGCCCGGTGAGCAGCTCAGGATTGTGGATTCCATCTGTTTCCTGGGCAGAGGGCACATAGTACTAAAAATAGATGTCAACAGGAGGTGACTGATTTAATACCTAATAAATACCAATACTTTCATGAATATTTGATGTCTCCTATGTGGTGTTGTGAATATTTCGTGGCTTTTTCTTTTATTCCCTATGATCTATGTTTTGCAGACATAGCTATTTTTACTGTAGCTAACCTCATGTGGTTTGCTTCTAAGTTCATATTTCTTACTTATTTCTCTTATTTTTTATGGTAGAATTCAGTGTTCTTAAATGTTCACACATTAGTCCTTCTCCACAAATAACTTACTTCTGAAGAACAAAGGTTTTTGGGAAGAAAGAAGTTTAGGGGGCCAGGGAGATGGCTCAATAGAATAAGCGCTTGCCTAGCAAGTACAAAGGCCTGAGTTCAATCCCCAGTTCCACAGAAAATAATAATAATAAATAAAAAAGTAAAAGAGAGTTAATGTTAGGGCTGGGGAGATAGCTCAGTAGATTAAGCACCTGCCTGGCAAGCTCAGGGTTTTGAGTTCAATCCCCAGTACCACAAAAAAAAAAAAAAAAGAAAGAAAGAAAAAAAGAAAGAAAGAAAGAAAAGAAACAGCAGCTTAGGAAAGGATTTTTTTTTATAAGTTATTTTTAAATTTTATTTATTTATTTAATTGTGTGTGTATCTGTGTGGCCAGCTCAGCCCACCAAGGGGCGGGGCTGGCTAGCATGTGGTGCTGGGGGATTGAACTGCGGTCCCTGTGCTTTGCTAAGCTTGTTCTAAGTAGGCACTTTAGACCACTGAGCCATCTCACCAGCCCTTAGGAAAGGATTTGTAGACACAGTGGTACCTCAGTACTCATTTGTGAATTCGTTCCAGAAGGCACAATGAGTACCAAAAACAAAGAATATCAAATACATTGTTTTGGCTAGAAAAGCGTAGTGAGTCACAAGGCAATCAACAGGGACAGTTCTAGTTTTCACAAGTAGCACACAAACTACATGTACTAAGAATTTTTACTTCATAATGCATCAAATATCAAGTTCAGTGAGTTTCAAAGCAGTGAAGTACCAAAGTGTGAGTGTGTATCTTAAAGTCCATTTGTTATTAGGATATAAACTTTTTATTAGCCAGTTTTAGAGTATTTTATAAACTCATAATCACAGCTGTATTTCATTTGCTTCTGTTGCCACTGTATTTAGTAAGTTACTGTCTTGTTCCTAGTGGTTACCTACATCTGAACACATCACCCTCTGGTTAGCTCTTAAAGCAGCACTCACTTTTGATGTCAAAGTTCAGTCTCCACTTAGAGATTCATTTTCTTTGTTTCCTTTTTGTCTTCATATTAAACCTTTAATTCTCATCAGGTTTATGCTTTTGGTTACAAAGAGTAGTAGATAAAACAGAGAACGAATACCTCCATTGTAAACCAGTTTAGAACCAGTATTCCCTGGATTGGGGCAGGAACATCAAGTTTCACACTGAGAGGGCAACATCGTAGCATTGTTTTTCAAGATAAGGAAAGGTAGACAATAAGGATGGAAGAGGAAAATGGATGAATTTACCTGCAGCACTACTTTGTAATTTGTTTTTCTTTTTTTAACTTATTTTATTTTTGAGAAAGGGTCTCACTATGCAGTTCATTCTGGCCATAAGCTCACTTTGTTACCCAGGCTGGTCTTGAATTTGCACCAATTACATATATAAATCAGGATTATATGTTTGTTTTGTGGTGTTGGGGTTAAAATGAACTCAGTGCCTGAGTGCTGGGATTACGGGTGTGCATCATCATGCCCAGCTGCTACTTTGTAAAGTAGATGAGAAATCATTGCAACCCACATATCCAATAAACTAGAAAGTGGTTTGTTTTAGATTTAAAGCAGTAAAAATCAAATAACAGAAAATTTGGAAACAAAATTAGGACCATCAAATGTTAAGAGTTAGGAAGTTATACTGATACCTGTGAACTAAGCTACTGCACTGCAGATGGTAATTTGTAATAGTGGTTTCATGTTGGGAGTGCCTGTCATTGTGGTATTCTGAATATGGGCGGCTTGTCATGACATGCCAGTTACTGCTAAGATGTCTCTCGGGTAGGTGGATGTTCAAGAAGAAGGGGGTGGTGAATGACAGCAAGAAGCAGGAAAAGGAATTTTGTGGGATTGTCCTGCTTCAAGGTTGTATATGGTGAGATTTTTGGACTTATGTGCAAACATGAGAAGCATAGAATTCTTTATCCTATTTTTAAAATATAATCTAATTTTTAAATGTTTTTTATCATATTATGTAGGGACTTAAAGTTCAACATATCAATACTTGATGAAAAATACCTGTTCCTTATTATGCCTAAGATGTTTGAAATGCAGTGAGATAGTGAGGTTAAGCTTGATAGCCTAAATTGTTTGATAATAACAATAAGCTTGTCTTCTGGATGGTTAACAACCTAAGTTTGCAGACCAAAATTAGAGAAAAAGGAGGGCTACAAGGAAAGCCAACATTTTGGCCCTAGTCGTCTAAGGTCAATTAAGACTCAGGACATATGAGAACTTGTACTGTAACGTCATGTACCTCGGTAGTGTCCCAAATTTTCTGATCAAGAAGATTATGGGGCCAAAGAGGAAAGTGATCGATGACGTAGAGTGTGCGTAAGGAGAGTCACATGGGGAGAAGACACTCTCTCAGGCTTTCACAGAGAGCACATTGGCCAAGCAATGGCCGTGACTCATCCACATGGCTGTACTGACAAAGGTTCTACAATCTGAGGTACAGGATCTCAGGATAAATCCTGAGGGCATTTCACTGACCTTCTCAGACCAAAAAGCTACAACTCTTGTTGCATAGGTCCTGCTTTACCTTGGTCTTAACCATCCAGTAGAAAAGTATGAAGACGAAATATAGGAAATAAAGCCATGCTGTTAAGT